CCTTTAGAAATTACCGGTAAAGTTCGGAGGAATACGGTTTAACATTTAACTGACCTTATTTTGGTAGTTTTCTTTAACAGTTTCTGGTCCAACAAAACGTCTCATTCATCGTCCTCCGGCGCACTGAAACCATCGAAGTCCTCTTCAGTGTCGGAGTTAAACAAGCTGCGTCACACAGCGGTATCTGTTGTCCTCCCGGGGTAATTCTGGCTCTGAAGCTGTGGTGTCCTCTTCACGTAGCACCTCTAGGAACCCACTGGTGATGGTGGACTCATTCACTCTGCTCCACGCTGTTAGGATCCACTGGCAGACATCAGGAAATGACGCTCTTCACATTGGGCCAGTTTTTGTGAATGATTTATCCCCATCAGTCATCCAAGCCTCCCTGCTTGCCAGCCCTGAGTGCTGCTTTAAATGCACGATTCACACTGATGTCCAGGGGTTGTAAAAACTTTGTTGTACCTCCAGGCAGCAGGAATGAGTTTGTTTTCTTGATGGCTGCTTTCACCGAATCCATGATGTGGGCCCGCATACTGTCCAATATCGTGTCTGTCGAAGATCCGTCGTGTCGTGTCTGCTACTAGCTAAAACAAAATGGAGCTACACCTCTGGCTAAGCTGGCAGTATGGTCGCTCAGCTGTCGACCGGTCGATGCGCCGTCTCGTGATTGTTCGGCGTTTGTTTTCGCACTGACCTTTCATAGTTCCCCTGAGAAACCTCGAGCCGAGCTGCTGGGAAAGCCCTCCCGCTCCAGCATACGTCACTGCATGGGATTCCTTCCCTGGGGAGTGCAATGAGGAAAACAAAGTCAGCAGCTCTTCACTCGACKTTTATCCACAAACTGGTCCTGGATTAACCTCCAAAGTTTTTATCAGTCAGATTCCACCGTGAAAAATGTCTGTTTTATCCCCTTTTTATGAGTTTTTGGCCATTGACTATCTTTAAATCGCTGCTTCCTGGTACAACAGTCGGCTCTGGAAGCGATCGCTTTTTTCTTTTTTTTCTTCTTTTTTTGAAAGTGAGTGGTTGAAGCAAATGGAGCATAAGAGCCCCCTGGTGGCTGAAGAAAAAAATCCACGTATAAACCTCACCGGTCTGTAAGCCGTATGGTTCAAAGTTCAGGAAAAAAGTCGCGGCTTATAGTCTGTAAAATACGGTAATTTTTTCAAAATTGACGTGTTTCCATTGAGCAATTTTATTTTCGAAATTCTAAATTGCGCATTTTCATTGTCAATGGAAACGCAGCTACTGTAATATTTTTTGACAATCTTTTGATACTTTTAGCTTTTAACCAGTGTTAGGAATGTGTTCAAGATCCAGTCCTGTCTTAATTTGCAGTAATGTAAAGTTACTCTCGTCCACCTCCTGGGGGTTGTCCCTCCTACATCAGCATTGAAATGATGTTTTGTTCAGGCAAAACTACCATATTTATTTGTATATAATATGAGAAATTTAATCCCAAAATCATCCATAAAGTGGTGTGTGGGGGTGGGGGTGGGGGGGTAGTATTATACATGGGAGTAAATACTGACTGACCTTTTTTATTGTACAACAATAAGTTAAAAAATTTCCTCATATAACTGAAATACGCCCCACCCCCACTGTAAGTCGTGCATAGTGAATCATATAAACAGAAGCTGTTTACTCACCAGAGTCAGAGGAGGAACAACTTGTTTCCTCTTCCTTGTTAACCGCAGCGATGTAAAAAAACAGACTTTGACTTCAGTTGTCTGTTCTGATAAAACCTTACTAATCAACAACTAGCTTCTGCTCTAGTCTGGGAGCAGATTGTTTTTTCTGTGACACATGGAACCTGAAACCTTCGTTGCTGCTCCTTTTGAGCTCTGCAGCAAAAAGACACAAACAGCCAGAAATTATACGTGTCCTTGAAAGTCCTTGAATTTTTTGGGGGAGGTTGAAGTTCTCTATTCACACGACAGATTTTCATCATCTGTAAAAATTTTTTTTATAAGAATAAAAAAACATTTTTCTGTGGTGGATAACTCAGGATTATATGGAAGCGTAGAGCTGTCACATGACATAAAATTATTTTTAAACTGGATCTCGTTATAACAAGAAAACTATCTCGTAAAAACGAGAAAATATGTTGTTATAATGACAAAACTATCTCGTAAAAACGAGAAAATATGTTATAACAACAAAAATATCTCGTAAAAATGAGAAAACTATCTTGTTGTATCAAGATAACCATCTTGTTATAACATGTCATGGTTTCTTCTGGTTTGTCACTTTCACAGAAGTTCATTGCCTGGATGGTAGGGGTGTAAGAAAATATCGATACACTGAAATATCGCGATATTTCATTTCCCGATACTGTATCGATATTCTAAAGCCCTGTATCAATTTTTAATTAAGGTTTAAAATGTCATCTTTCCTGCCAACCGTTCATTTTTATGTTGTAGTTCAGCTTCTGACCACTAGTTGGCAGCAGTGAGCCAGACATTTGGCTCCTCTACCTCTTGAACGCCAGAGAGTAAGAGAGCATTAGCATTGTAAGTAAACATTAGCTTTTTTTTTTCAGTAAGAGGTTTTTATTTAATAGAATTTTTGGACAAAAACATCGCAATATATCACCTTGCTTATAGTATCACAATATATCGGGATGTATCGTATCATGACCCCTCTGTTATGAAATGTATCGTATCGACAAATTCTTGCCAATACACAACCCTACTGGATGGCGTGGTGGAGAACACGACTGAGTCTCACTATACGTCTTTTTATGAAGAAGAAATCTGAAAGAGGAACACATTTCTAGACTAAAAAATGACAAGTTAGTACTGAATAATGTTTTTGAAATAATAGCGTCTGAATTCAGATTAGAGAGAATATTATTAAGTGCTACTAGCTGCAACATCTGAGCACAAACCCAAAATAATTCTGTTAGTTTTTGTTTATATAGTGGTTCAGTCGTGTTCTTCATCACACCATCCAGGCAATAAAGTTCAGTGTAAATCTTGGTATAACAAGATAGTTTTCTTGTTTTTACAAGATAGTTTTCTCATAAGATATTTTAGTCGTTATAACAACATATTTTCTCGTTTTTACGAGATAATTTTCTCGTTATAACGAGATCCAGTTTAAAAATAATTTTATGTCATGTGACAGCTCTGCGCTTCCGTAGGATTACAGTAAACTAACGTGGCTTTCAACAAATAAAGTGAGCCATCGTCATAGCTTTAACCAATCAGAGCAGAGGAGGGCGGGTCGTTCTTTCTGAGCCCAGGTAAGAGCACCACAGCTCCTGTCCTCACCGAGGGTCTGGACCTGTTCACATCCCCTCCTCCCAGACTGAGCTGCTGAACCTCCCAGGACATAATTACATGTCCGTGTGTTGTAGATATGAATGTAGGGTAAACATTTAATCCACTTTATTTATTGATTCTGACTCAACAACGTCTATGTTCATTTTTTAATTGAATTTACATGATATTAAACCTGTTTACTGGTACCATTCTGTGGTAGCAGGAGGAAACTGCCATTGCACATGGTTCTTTAATTTGAGGAATTTGGTACTGGAAAGTCCTTGAAAAGTCCTTGAATTTAATGTTGCCCAAGGTGTGGGAACCCTTTATTATTATTATTATTATTATTATTATTATTATTATTATTATTATTATAGATCATTGCCACAGCCTTACTGTGATCAGGAAAGAATGAAAGGAAAGGTAGAGAGGTGCAGCTCAGTGACTCCCCCCACCGTATGTCCTGCTAAAGCAGGTAAATGAGAACAGGTGTGTGTTCACCTGAGCGGACACTCGCAGGCGGAGCAGTGATGAAAAAAAGAGGTGGGTGACAGCTGGAAGTCCGTGGTCAGCTCTTCAAACTGCTCCTGCTAATTTATCAAGCAGATACTGATACTGGACCGGACAGGACTTCAGACAGCTCTGTCACCAGTCTGGACCGAACCGGACACTCGCTGCTGCTGCTGCTGCGGTGTGTGTGTCAGTGGGACAGTGACACTTTTAGGCCGTGCCCCTCAGTATCTCCTGTAGAGATCGACCGATAAAGGTTTTTGAAGGCCGATACTGACTTTTTTTTTTTTTTTTACATCAGTCTAACCGATACGTGCAGCCGATTTTTATTTTTTTTTTATTTTTTGGGCCGATTCTTTAAGCAGATATTGCCTTTTCTTTCTACATTAACACGATAAAAATACGAATGATAACAAATGTTACACAAGTCTCACTTTAAAAGAAAACAAACAAAAACATTTATTAACTGAGGCTTGTCTGGTGCAGGCTGAGTGAAGTGCTGCCACACAGGATTTCTTCTTTCAACCCTTTCTTAAAAACATTAAAAAATAAATTAATTCATGATTTATTTTATCTAGTGCTAAATATTTGTTTTTATTTGTATATTAATCAGATTTATATTTTTTACATAAAATACAATGACTGTGTTTTAATATCCCAGCATTTTTGATGCAAAAACAGCATTATGCCTGATTAAAACTGTCAGAGCAACACAGAGAAAAAGGAGACACACGCATACATCTTGCTATCTTTGTGAGGACTTCACACACACACGCAGCACTCACTAGCTGTGTTTCCATTACAAATGTGCGCAAAAATTTGTCGATATTCTGTTAATGTCGAAAAAACACAGTTTCACAACTGCAGTGTTTCCATTAAGTAAGAAATGTTATTAAAGTCACGTGAATA